AGATAAGGAAACTTCTCTAGCACCAACCCAATGATATGTTTTCGCTTCTCTTCGGGATCTTCAGGCAAGATAGAAATCGGGAGTCGAGATTGGTTAGATTCATATATCTGACTAGAAGAAGTTGTAGATGATGTACTCACCTCAGCTTTGGGCGAATTGACTGGACCGATTTTAGAGGAATTATTCTGATCGGATCCCTCTGGGACCTCGACATCTTGTTCTTCATCCTCGGATTTGATAATTAATTCTGGATCGGGTCTGGCTTCGAAGGTGATAGGCTTGAAATCAGAGGCTTGAGATTTTTCTGATATACTTGTCACGGCTTCTGATAATTGCCATGGCTCATTTCCAGTTTCTTTTTTATATCTTTTATATAAATTGGAACGAATCTTATCTGTCAAAACACTTGGTAAACCAATTAATTTGGCATTCCAATCCAGATATTCGGGGGTTAATATTTTATCAGACTTGGTCATTTCCCTTTTTATGTGACTGCAAACAATTTAAATCCTTTTTTTCTCAATTCGAAAAAAGATTAAAAATTTTCAGATAGAAAGCTGTCTAATATTTATCATACTTCCAAAAAAATAGATCATCTCCCGCACTCATAGAACAGGAGGACTATGCAGTTATCTCAATTTCACGCTGTTCACACTTAATAAAGTAAGATCCAGCTTTATACCTACCTTCTATTTCTTCATCATCATGACCTAATTTGCATAATGGGCAGATGATCTCTCTCGAGACCCCGCATGATGTCTCATCAGTAATCCCATAATAATCGAAATTTTCACTACTACATTCTCTAAATAAATTTGGATATTGATCCAATATCTTGTTGCGAAAGTATGCTCGGTCATAAGTTGGCTTAGATTGGGCTCGTACATTAGTCTGATTGGTTTTTGAAGTCTGAGATGTAGGTGGAGTGCTTTTCCCGACATTTGGTGATTTTTTCGATCCAGACTTGTTTGATTCAGCCGGTAGATCACGTGAGCGTGAAGAATTCTTCACGCCGATCACTTTTTGACATTCTGCAGTGTAAAGGTTTATTATATTTTGAATTTGTGCACCCGTTAAACTTCCAATAGCATCGACACTGTATGTAACTAACCCGATTTTATCTATTCCTATTTCTTTAAACAGTGTATAAATATTTTTAGCTTTTTGAGTCATCTTGCGTAAATTCTCTCTCTTCTTACCTGGAAGGTAGGG